TCTCTTTCTCTCTCTCTTTCTCTCTCTCTCGTTCCTCTTCTCACTTTTCTTTCAAATCTCAGACACCGGCGAGGCGGAGAATATAGGCACCGGTGGCGGCGATGAATTCTCTTTCTCTCTCAGACGCGAACTGACACACTTTTCATTGTTAAAATCGCAGCTCACCGTGAACTCAGCTCCGACGAACACAGTCACTGACGATGAATAAAAGCCCGAGCTCGGACTTCGGACCTTTTATCAGGGCCAGGCTCGAGCTCAAGTTATAGGCCTGTTGGTTGGGCCGGACTCGGATTCAAACCTAACAAATATCTATTCATGAAGAATAAAAATCCGGCCCAAACCTGGCCCGGCCCGGCCCATCAACCGGTCTAGATGAAGGGCAGTACTCAACCATTGAGACAATCGACAAGAGAAACATCTACGAGCAGGTATAAACATGTCATATCATGTCGGTTTTGGTACATGCATGTAAATCCTGACCTTTTTTGATAGGTTCGTATTAGTATTACGTGAAAATCATAGGATAAGTGAGAAATCCCAGTCATAAACTTCGTGGGATTTGGCATCATAATGGCTTAATGGGAGCCTATAATAATAAATGGGGTTGTATCATGTATGGTCACAATTCATAAATTTCTGCGCATACTAACATATACATTTTTTTAGGAATTTTTAGACTACTACGCCTCAAAATTTTGATTTAAACTGTAATTATAAATAATTCCACCTATAACACTCATAACCGTCCAAAATTTGGCATTAATTCTAAACTGGCACCTAACCCAAATTGCCTTTTTTTTAATCAGTTATGCATCCTCTCAATCAAAAAGAATCCGCAGTGCCAACACTTGTCCCAACTGGCCATTACAGCCATACATTGGGAACATCTCCTTTAGCGTTGTTTTGGGAGCAGAGATCCCTACTCGTGAGTCGTGATCACAAGCACCCTGTGCGGAGAATATCCGAATTTCACAGAGAATGCTATCTCCTGCACCCCACTGGACTAAATAGGATCGTCAATTCACCATAGTAACCGATTACTTACCATTAAAATCAGCCTCCTTTATATAACGTAGACAAAAGATATTTGGATGAAGTGAATTGCTGTTTCTTGTCTGGTTAAATAAAGTACTTTTTTCTTTCCCGGGAGGGGAGGTGGGTGGGGCTTCGAGTATATACAGAACCCGTATTTAATTGTATTTGTGTTATCTCATATTTCTAGAGTGCCCGAGTTCTGCAAGTGACGCGATTCCTTGCAACTAAAAACTCTGCAAATTCAGAAAGATGGAAATTCAGCCATACACTATATAAATTTAACATACTTGTTGTATGAAGAGAGATATTTCCTATATATGTGAGTAAGGGTGTCTATTGGACTGGATTTGGTCCAATCCGATCCACTCCAATATAAGTTCATTATAAATAAATGGACCAGGTCCAATTCAATCCAATGAATATTTAGGACTGGTCTAATTCAATGTCATTCTGAACCATCCAAATCTGTTCAAATTTGTTTTGATTTAGATTAGTTTTAATATTTCCAATCCAGTTCATTGATATCTATATTCTTATCTTATATTAATGAACTATATATTGACTTAGTCCAACCCAATCCAATATAAATTTATTACGGATGGACCATTTCCAATCTAATCTAATAAATATTTTGGATCGGATTGATCCAATCTAATATTTCTTCTTATTGGCCCGTTCAACCTGTGGAAATTGATCTTGGACTTTGAACAGAGTCCGATCCAAAAACGGTCCATTGACACGGATGAATGTGTCCAAAGTTTTTGCTTACAGGATATTCGGTCTCATTTTGCAATAATTTCTCAGCTAGGAAAAAAAAGAAGCTTTCCTTGCTAATCAGGGAAGTTCTAGTGTATTATGATTAATTAGAGTTTCAAAATAGGGATAGAAAATTTGGGTTTGGTTATAATTGAGACATTGGACTACCTCATCGATCCAATTCGATCACACCCAAAGTTAATGGTGCTACCAATACGTGATGGCGCTAATTTGTGAATGTCTCTAGGATCCTATAGGCAGGATTATATATTCACACATCGCTTCTTCATGGGTATGTGTGAATTTGGTCACTATTTACGTTTTTTTTTTAGGCTTTGCTACTATTTACAGTTTACTTAATCAACCTAGCTCAAGATTAAAAAAAAAAAAAGAAGAAGAAAAGATATATATGAGGCATTCATGACATTAAAGTTGTTGGAAGTCGAATCAAGGTAAGGGTTGCCTCGATCGATCGAATTCAACCCAACGCAAGTTGGTTTGCATAACACAATCAACATCATGCCTGCCTGGATTATACGGTAAATACATAGTCATAGTCTCATAGATTAATACTCGTCAACAAGGTAACTTATAAATCAATTCTTTGTATATATTCATTCAGTTACTCTCCCCATCCCCACAAAGTAAACTTGTCGGTGAGAGCTCCCTCTAAGTCTGTACACAGGTCCTGCCGAGCCATCCAAAAAACTATACCTTTCATGAATCATGATCTAAAAAWAAATAAATAAATAAAGCAAAAGGATTGTTACCGAATATACAAATATAATTCTTTCTTTTTCCTTGTATACCTTTTTTTTGAGTCTCTGTTGTTTACTTTAATTAACTTTATCTTTTCCTTAATTTTTATAGTTTATAATGAGCTTGATAACATTATTAATGGCCGAAGAAGAACATTGGAGTATGCTTTAAAGGAGGGTTCAAGTTCTCCTCACATTAAGCTGGCACGCAAAAATAGGTCATATCTGACCGCCGCGCCGACACCCTTTCTCTCCTTGCATTTATTCTCTCAACTGCCTACTGCCTGAGTGCCTTCTCCCATCTTAAACCTTTTATGTTATTACTTCTCTCACTTCAACCCACTCTTCAATGGCTTCCCGACCAACTATCATCCTCTTCCTCTACCTCTTCTCTTCTTTTTCTACTAACTCCTCATCAGCTGCTCCTTCGGATTTCGTAGCAACTCTCAAGTCCACCATCGATGAAGTCCAGGGAGTAATCTCTCTTGTTTCCAAGTTCGCCAATCAGTTCGACGATTTTCGCCTGTCGAATGCCCTTAACGACTGCGTTGATCTGCTYGACTACTCTGCCGATGAACTGGGCTGGACCCTCTCSGCCACCGAGAACCCCAACAGTATCTTCTATATTTCTCACTCCTCTTAATCACATATTCTTTCAGTTGTATATTTCGTTCTTATTGAACCTCATCTGTAATGAACATATATTAAGCTTCTCGATTCATGCATTAATTCATGGAATTTGTTCCTCTAGTAGTTCTTATTCACTTAGTTCCTCTCTCTCTCCCCCTACACACTGTCACACTGAGAACTTCCTTGCTTGACTTAAAAACTAGCCATGCATGCAAATCTTTTTTCATCGATAACACATATGGGTCAATTTTAGCTTCTAGTCAAAACTATCTAGGCAAATCTGCAAATTATCTGATGTGATGTCAAGCAACTAGCTCATAATTTTCAACCCATCAACTGTAACAACAACCAGCTATTCATCTACGGCATCATATCTTAATTTTAAAAGCACTAAAATAATCAAATTGTTATACTTGTATTAACTAGTAATTAACCTTGGTTACAGGTAATGATAATAGCACTGGGAACCGGAATTCTGATCTAAAGGCATGGCTGAGCGCGGCCCTTGGTAACCAAGACACATGTCTAGATGGGTTCGAAGGAACCAACAGCTTCGTCAAGGGTCTCGTCGCCGGAAGCCTCGACACCGTCACGTCTTTGGTCAGTGAAGTTCTTGGCCAGATACCCTCCGGTGGCCGCCTGGGAAGGAAACTTAAAAGTGTTAGTGAAGGCGGTGGCTTTCCTGCATGGATGAAAGGCAGCGACCGGAGGTTATTGCAGGCGCCGGCAGGTGGGGTGTCCGCCGATGCGGTTGTTGCACAAGATGGGACTGGGCAATTCACTAGCGTGATGGATGCGGTGTTGGCTGCGCCAGATTATAGCGAGCGCCGGTATGTGATATACGTAAAGAGAGGTGTGTATAAGGAGAATGTGGAGATAAAAAAGAAGAAATGGAATCTGATGATCGTGGGTGATGGGATGGACGTCACCATTATTTCCGGTAGCCGTAACTTCGTCGACGGTTGGACCACATTCAGATCAGCTACGTTTGGTAAGTTTTTTTTTTCTTTTTTTTTTTTGAGGGGGGGGGGGTTTAACGTAAAATCCTACGTTTTGGTAAGTGGGTAACCAGGGTAAGTAGAGGAATGGCTGTTTTGTGGTTTCGTTTTCTTGGAGATTAGACGTCCACTGATGGAGAATAGAGTCCACCTCTTTTCTTTGTGTGGAAGCTTCACGCGGAAATGGACCCAAAAGAAGGCAGCAGGCCATCGGCTCTTTGTTTTGGCCTGTAGAGACGTAAAGACGTTCGMTGAACGGGGTCCATTTCTTACTAGGTGCTCTGTGGTGGTATGACAGGGACCTCTGACTTGGTGGGTCCGACCCAGGGATCGATCGTATCTCAAATCARCATCAAAAGGGATATCAAGTAATTTGATTTTGTTGCAAGTATTGGGAGTTTGGGACGGTGGAAACCGGAAATAAAGTTTATAGACTCCTTTCTCCTCGTTTGGTTTGGGGAATCTACCAAGTACCAACCCACAGAGAAGGGAAAATTAACTCTAAGGCTGTGTTTTGCAGCAATGCAAATAAATTTGCACTGATGCAAAGCCATGGCAGTGTAAATTTTGACTTATTTATAAATTTGTACTGCAACCAAACACAGCCTAAAAGTAAATAACGCTTTAATATAAAGTAGACATTCAAAAAAGCATGAAATAATTGGAACGCAAAGTCAAAAAGTACGTGGTTAATTAAGCTAGTGTGATATTGCAAGTCAAAAGAACGCAAAGCACTGTGTCGTTGCTTCCACTTCACTTCATAATTGATTCATTTGACTCAGTGAGTCAAACATTCGAGTCATTAACAACTCGGTGTGGACTGTGGAGCTAACCAGTGGGTTATGTTGCCCTGCAGCTGTCTCCGGCAAAGGATTCATAGCCCGAGACATAACGTTTGAGAACACAGCAGGCCCGGAAAAGCACCAAGCAGTAGCACTCCGATCGGATTCTGATCTCTCGGCCTATTATCGATGTGCCATCAAAGGGTACCAAGACACCCTCTATGCCCACTCACTCCGCCAATTCTACCGAGAATGCCGAATCAGTGGCACAGTTGATTTCATCTTTGGCAACGGTGCCGTCGTCATTCAGAACTGCCAAATCCTTGCCAAGAAGGGTCTCCCCAACCAGAAGAACACCATAACCGCACAAGGACGCAAAGACCCAAACCAAAATACCGGGTTCTCGCTTCAATTCTCCAACATGTCGGCTGACTCGGACCTGATTGGCTCAGCGAACTCAACATTGACATACCTCGGGCGACCTTGGAAGCAGTACTCACGGACAGTTTTCATGCAGTCATACATGAGTGATGTGATAAGGCCAGAAGGGTGGCTGGAGTGGCAGGGAAATTTCGCTCTGGATACACTTTATTATGGTGAATATATGAATTATGGACCCGGTGCTGGTCTGAGCAGCCGAGTCAAGTGGCCTGGCCTCCACGCAATTACCAACTCCTCTCAGGCCAGTGCCTTCACGGTCGCTCAATTTATTGACGGAAATTTATGGTTGCCGTCAACCGGCGTCAAATTTACAGCAGGTTTGGCGGTGTAGAAGATGAACAATACATATTCCAGAGAGAACATACATTTAATCATAATTTAATGTCATGTGTAAACGGTGAAGGCCACTCTCAAATAGCGATATGATAGATCGAGATACAGTTTATTAACGTGGTTTTGTTTTTTGATTAATTGCTTGTATGTATTGCTGTCCTATGTATTAATTTGGTATTTTTTTTTTTCTTTTCTGATTTCTATTGTATTGAAGAATTGTAACCTAGGGCTTTTCATTGATGTGTATCAAGAGTAATTAAGAGGGCGGGAAAAAATAAGTTGAGAATCGAATTACCATGCATTTTCAATATTTACCGCAAGTTAAATTAAAATTCCAATAAATCATAATCAAAATGTCACATGATTTATTTATTTTTATTGATTCATATTAAATGAATATATTTTCACATCTTATAATATTGAGGACTTTAACGATGCTCACTGTAACTATTGATTTCATCACCGATTAGTGTTTATATATATATATATATATATATATACTTTAAGTTGCAGCAGTTTCCATAAATTATACCATAGATTTTTCCCTATATCAATTATAAATTTGCATGTTTGAGAACTGAGAATAAGGAAAATCATAAAGGTAATCCAAGTCATTTTATTCTCCTTCAATTGACGGTGGGTACAACTCTTGACTTGAAGCCAGTTGTTTCTTTATCCAGAATTTTATTTTTATTTTTAAGAAAGGAGCATCTATTAATTTAATTCAAAGGAGAAATCAGTACAACAGGCTCTTGAAGAAAGGATGGTTCAGAAGACAATGTATAGACACTCGGAAGTCGGAATGGAACAAGCAACCTTTGCAATTCGGTGAGCAACATGTGAGAAGTTATACACCGAAAAGGAAGAGATCAAGCTTCTACAATCGCTAATAAATAATAATAATAATTGTGACAACTCGCCAAGGTGGAATTGAATTCAGTACAACAGGCCCCCAAAATTAAATATGCATTGCTATATGAATCTTGACGGCTGTAGGTCCAACTCATCCCAGCAGGGCCAAATGCCAAAGCATAGAAGGCATTCAGATTTCAGAGTAGAGACGATGAAGCCAGCAGGCAGTGTCAGTGTAACTCTCAACACTCAACATATAAGTTCCAATATTGAGATTTTTACGGATGACGAGGAATGTTAGGATTCCCGATAAAAAGAAGGAATTGACGAAGAAGATAAAAACTCCTGTATATGCAGAAAAATATTTCTCTCTAAACAACCCCTAAACCTAGCCCTTGGAACGAAGTTAGCCCATTTATTGCTAAATGAGTTAGCTTTTAGTTGGGAGGTGGGTGGGCCATTCAAATCCAAGTCGCAGCAAGTGGTTAGGTGCACAAACTACGTAGCCTAGGCTAGTCGATGCCCAATGGGACGTATCGTGTTAATGTTCCCGTTTCTTATAGGCCTTTGTGTATATGGGTTTTAGTCAATCGATCCGGTTGCAATGAACCAAAATTAAAAAAAATTGAAATGGTAGGTAGACAATTAAAACTTGTCATAAAAATGACATAGACAAAAGCAGTTGGCTGTAAATAATATGAAATTTATGGATGTACGTGTACCCAATAAATATATAAAACATGCTTTTGCTTTGGTTTATTTATTTTGGTAATGGATGGAGGAAATGGTATAGGCATGCATGCATTTATGCCTTTTAATTTGATGTAAACTGTTGCCAATTGCCATGTATTAAATTGTGGTCCCTTAATTGGCTTGTTGCTGGGATACAGTAACTTTGATCTTGCCTCTCTCACAAGTAATAACTTTTCACATATCTTCAACTTCGTCGCTTTAATTTCCCAATTATTTTTTGTCACGATGGTAGTGAATAAAGGATGCCACTGCTCATGTTGAATGAATCTGGATTTCTTTACAAAATGGTCCTCACAGCATTTGAAGCCGTGCATCCATTGGAAATATTTATTCATGTAAAGAGGATACGGAAATATTTATTAATCCATGAAACATCTATTAATTATTGTTTTTTTTTTTTGCGAAATTCTGCTATTTTTAAATTATTACATTTTTCATCAATTTACTCTATTTTTTTATATCATTTTTCAGCATTCTATTCTATGGTTTTTTATCAGTTTTTTTTTGTGATTTTCTTTCTTTTATATATTCTGGTTTTTCCATGCAATTTCATTTAATTTTCTGATTTTTATACTTTGTTCTATATTTTTTCATTTGTCTAGAATTTTTCTATAATAATTTATGAATTTTTCTGTTTTTTTCAAGTAATTTTCAGATATTTGGTCTTCCTCATGATTTTCTGAATTTTTTTTTATACTTTTATAGTCTATTGAACAATTGGGACCATAGGATGAAATGGACGTTTTTTCCACCGTTAGATGTAAGATAGTATATACATAGTAGAAGCACTGAAGAATGGGTACTAGTGCCAACAACGGATATGGAGCACTGGTAGGTACCAAACAGAAGGTGTTGCTGCTGTTGCCCTAGGAAACGTCCTACCTGGTAGCAACATTTCCAAAAAAAAAAAAAAAAAACGAAAACGTACTTCCAACTCACATATATACAGCAGCGTTTTCTACAGCATTGATGCCAAACACATACGATATAGATGGGGCAAAGCCCAGGTTGAAGCCGTTAGAATGGGACAAAGTACGGGCAACTTCAGATCGAGCCATGGTGTGGGACCAACTAAAGTCAAGTTCATTTCAGTAAGTAGCATGTAAATACTTGATTAATGTGTGTTGTTCCCCTATTGTATGGTTTTTAATCTTAATGCTCCGTTCACTTTTCGGTAAGTTATTTATCCATGTTCTTTTATTTCCTATGTAAATATGGAAATGACCATTTTAGTCATAAAAGTTCTATTATTAAAAGGGGCATTTTTGTTTCATCCAAGTATTGGCAACTTTCTCCTAGATGGGAAAGTTAATTTACCCATCTAAGAGAATAAACTTTCACTGATCCCCCCTTTCAAAATCCAAAAAAAGAACGCCCCCTAATTACCATGTCACTTGTTTAGAGATTAAAGGAAAACATGATCTGTGTTGTTCTCCCGTTGTATGGTTTTTAATGTTAATTACCATGTCACTAGTTTACTGATTAAGTGAAAACATGTTTGAAACTCATTTTGGATGCAATTCAGCAAATTCGGTTAGAAAGAAGCAACTAGAAGTGTACTCCCTCCCGTTGAACGGAACAGGGTTTTGGACCCAAAGAAGTCACAGAATATAGCTATACTTCTGAGAGCATTAGCATTAAACGTAACAAGAGATAAAGGTCTCTGAGGCACTCTTAGATGGTATGTTGCCTGGTCTTCTCCCATGTCTGACCAGTGAAACGGGGTCTCACAATTCTAGTCACGTAGTGTAGCGTCAAATGTATATGGATTGTGACATAATATTAACATATGCTAACGATAGGGGTAGAGTTAGTCAATTTCTTAAATTATAAGGGTATTTTAAGAAATTTGTCCAAATATAAAATGTGTATCATTATTTATAAGAATATGTACCATGTGCATGTGTAAGGCTAAAAATAAAATCTTGTATTATCAAATTTAACAATTACATTTGCTTATGTATATGTGTTTTTTTTTTTAGAAAATCTGATGCCACAATTTAAAGGATTATAACCAATGATTAAAAAAAGTAAAAAAACACGAGATTGCATGAGATCACTGACACAACTTTGTAATAGGAAATGTAGAGAATCAACTCAAAAAAAAAAAAAAAAAAACTTCCATCTAATCTCGCAATGTCCTCTTTTTCTAAGAAGATTGTAATTTCCCTATCAAAATGAGCATGACAATTTACACTGTGGCTTTKGGAAGAAAAATTAAAGGATTTAAAAAGAATGTTGATTGGGGCACATCTCCACTTTTAAATAAGTTCCGCCTATTCCTAGTAAATTTATTTGAAAAGGCGGAAAGACCCCGTGTGATTTTTCTCTTACACATCAAAATTAAATAAGAGATGGTTCTTTTGGTCTTTTCACAAGGGATGTGCSCCATTTACCAAAAATGAAATGTGTCCAAATCATCCCTCATAAAGAAGAAAGGGTTGGGTAGATCCTGATTGTTGTCCTGTGGTGGGTCTGTGGTCTGTTTTAGTCCTTTTTGTATACTACATCTAAAATTCAAACAATCTTTGTGAATTTGACATTACAACTGCATTACAGGATTAACAAATTTCTATTTTTTTTTTAGCATTATTCATTGTAATCACTAATTTGTATGAAATATATTATTCGAGTCCTTAGAGAATGAAAAGAAGTAATTAATAGTGAGTAGTGGAGGAGGGTGAGGAACCGATCGAGTCTCTACATCATCATGATAACCTTATTAATTAGTATAATCCTAGTTTAATTCAATAGGAACAAACAATAATTGACTGCTTATAATATATACTGTGTGTCTTTTTTTTTGGTAAAGAAAGATTAGTTTGGAATTGATAATGAAGCACCATTACAGTTTTGAGGGATCTCATTGATCCACTTTGCCACCCAAAGCGGAATGGCTTCTTTAAAAAGCCCATACTCTGAAATTCCCCTACGAGCTAAGTTATGGGCTAAAGTATTAACAGTGATTTCTGTGTTTCACTCTTGTATGGAATACAGTGATTTCTGTCCTAATATAACCGGACAATTACTTTGATCAAAAAGCAAATAAAATATAACATAAGAAGTTAACAGATTACATATCGCCATTTTCTGATGAACCAAGATATCATCTATACTGAGTTAAGCATATCTCATGACTAATAGCTTTTAGTGATGTAGTCATCACTCATCAATGGGGTAGGCTATATTGAAGATCACAACAATCTTCTGATTTGACACTTGAGTTACTTGAATTGAAGCTTTACATGTTTTATAAATTAAAGGTATCATCCTGTCAATTCTCAATAACAATGCTATTGGTTTGCATGCGCTTTTTAAGAAAAAGATCAAATTGTGAGTGTGAATGTTAAAAAATTTGACCCCGGCATGGAAAAGTATGCTTCATCTATCCTGTCTTTTCGTTAAAATATAGAAACCTCCCTTAAACCAGAGAGGAGGCTTTTATATTTTACCCAAAATAAAATTATATATTTTCTTTTTTTTTCTAACTCACGTTTACAGACCACCAACAAAACCGTGGTCCATTTATTTCTTTATTTTAATTTCCTCTATCCCCACATCAAAGTTGTTATCTAAAATGGAATCAATAAAATGTGACTTCACAGAGGACTTTAAGAAGTGGAGAAGTGGGAAATTTGTCTTTGAATTATAGTTTGGGTTCCATAATTTTCCATATGAGCCAGCTGATGCAAATTA